CATCCAGAGGTCCCTTCCAAAACAAGTTCTCTGTGCTTCTCTGTGGTGATCTGAGAGGTTGTGTGGGAAGTAAATGGGGCTAGATGACTTATGAGAAAGACAGACATAGATGAGTTATGAGAAAGAATATAAAGAATATATGCAGCCTAATGCTGTTTCCATCTTCTTTGAAAGAAGTTTACATCTCCCAGCTCTTGGAAGTGGACTCTGATGACCAGAGCTGTATACAGACCTCCCTAAATACCACAGGCTCAACTGAACCAACGAAATTGAAACATGCAAATTTGTTGGGAAGGAAAGATGGAACTTAGCGTTAGTTATGCTATAATTGCCTCAAAGAGTAATGTTCTTTGTCTGTAAGATTAGTACTTTCATTGGAGTATTTTTTGTTTACTATAAGCTTTACATTTTAGTGTTTTAGTTATTTAGATGTCAATGTTTAGATGTTATTTAGACACCTCTCCTGTAATAAAAGGTTGAGGGAGTTGGGACTGTTTAGCTTGAGGAAGAGAAGGCTCCAGGAGGACCTCATTGCTATCTTCCAGAACTTGAAAGGAGCTTACAAGTGGGAAGGGCACTGACTTTTTACAAAAATAGTGATAGGACAAGCACAACAAATGTTGGACTGTGGGCAACATTTTCCTAGCAACAATGCAGTCAAAGCAGCTGTGAAACAGTGGGTCACCTCCACTACTGCAGTTTTTTATGTGCATGGTATGCAGGCTCCTGTTCATTGCCTGGTGAAAATGCATAGTTAATGATGGCTGTAATTATGTTTAAAAAAATTTGTGTTTTGTAGCTGAGAATGTGCTCTATTGAATAGTGTTATTGTGCACTTTGTATCCATTGTAGTCTCCATGGAAACAAAAAGGACGCATTACTTTTGGAGCAGCTTATGTACTTATTCATGAGGAGTAGGTACTGTTCTGGGCTTTGTTGAAGAAAAGTATTGATTAATTATGTTGTTATGTATGATGAGCTCTCTGCTATGAATTTACAAAATGTGGTGAAAGTATAAGCAAAATTAAAGGAGTAAACAAACTGAATTGAGTTGTCATATGATAGAGGTACTTGTTATGATGTTGGCACTGTAGTGTGAATTAAGCTTGATGATTATGAAGTGACTTTAGTTGTGCAGAGATTTGAACAAGGGGATAAAAATCTAGAATGATATGGCAGAAAGAAAAAGATAAAAGGATACAGGTAGAAAAAGTAAGTGGGGCAGGAGGTAACAGGGAAAAAAAACCTGGAAGGTACAAGGTACAGAGCACAAACCCTGTTGAAATACAAAATAAGAATAAGTACAAATTATAATATTGTGGCAGTATATCAATCTGAAAGTGAGGCTATGGAGATAAAAGGCAACGAAGGAGAAAGTAATAAAATATCAAATGTATTAGGATTTGCATATATTTGTATTTTTTATTTTATATATTGTATTTTATATGAAATTTTTGAGATGTGATAAATGTGGAGCATCAGGTGGGAAATAAATAATAATACCTTTAACTGCAGTTCTTCCTGAGTAGCAGCACAGAACTTGATGTATCTAAAATTCTCTTGGACTGCATAGAGCTAAAAAAGATAGCTCTCTGTGTGTTGTTCTAAGAAGACTATCCCTTTGTACGACCATTGCAATTTTCTATATTCTATAGCTTGAAGGGGAGCCTAAAATATTTTATAGGGCTCGGTATTTTGAATTTAGCTTAGTAAAGATTTTCTGAATAATATTGTTTCAGGAAAATGGATTAGGAACTGGTCAGCAGCTAATAAAGGTGATAGGTTTCTTTAAAGGAGGTTGCTAACATTATGTGTTAGCTGAATATCCAACTGTGCTTTCTGTTGTTTGAATGCTTGCTTTGAAAGATATGATAATTTCTAATAGCAGTGGACTTCAAAATGTTCCAATAAATTTGTAATAGGTCATCTGTTCAGATTTATCTGACTTATTTATATTTTTCCAGCAACTCTTTTTGTCTGTCAATTGGCCTCTTTCAGAGAAAAATGGTATGCATGCTTCTCTGCAATTTTCCCAAACAAATGATTCTGTCACATTTATTTTTGGTATTTTTCTCCAAAATAGCCAAAGAGCTTGCTTCTGTGTGAAACTAAATGGTGCTAATCAGTGTGATTAGACAGCCTGCTATCCAGACCAGTTTGATTAGATGAGATACAAAGGGTACTGTGGTGGAAAAACATCATTTCATCTCCTTCACAGCTGCTACAAATGATTATTCAGACTCTTTATGCCACAGATGAAAAACCTAACCAGAAACAGATGGGGATTAAATATTTTTAGAAACAGTATTGCAAAGTATTAACAAGAGGAAGAGAAAAAGTTTGCAACTTTGGAGTCTAACGAATTTTTAAACCTGCTTGTTAAAGTATATTCACTATTGTTTGTATAAATATTTCAATTCTTTCTTGTGGGCAGAACCAGTGTAAAATGCAAATTTTTCAGATCCAGCACAAGCTGCTCTAAAACAATGTTTTAAAGTAACGTACAGCTCACAAATCACTCATTTAAAGTTTCTTATCTTTTCTGATTATTTTAATTTTGTATGATTGTATCATCATGTAATGGTCTTCTGTGTGAGATGCTAGAAAAGAACAGAAAATTTGGACTCTCAGATCTAAGAAGGCTTTTTGACAAGCTTGAAATACATTTAGTGACATCCTAAACATCTTCATGATAAACTGATTAGTTAGGTCTGTTCAGTTATCACAGTTTTCCTGCTAGAGGAAATGATTCTTCTCCTGTGAATTACAGTGTCAGAAAATGATCAGTTCTGCTTTTCAACTGTGCTTTTGATAAGGACATTTTAGTGTAGAATTAATCCTTTAGTTTTCTAGAATATAAAATCTGCATGTCTGATAAGGGTAAATGTCTTTTATCTCTTTCTAAAAGCAAGTCAGTGATGCAGAGTTGTCATTTGTACTAAGCAGAAAAGTCCTGATTTTCTAGCTCAGGATGAAGAAACCTCAAACATGTCAGTGTTGAATACTGCTCTAGTCCTCTGAGGGCCACTTCAGGGTCTTGAGTTTCCATTTTAGAATTCCAATATGGATGCAGGTGGAGTTTATCCAAGTCTTAGTCAGTATTTCATTATTCCTATGGGAAGTAAATCATTACAGTATGATTTGAGGGGGGAAAAAAAAAATCTTAAATGGTTTCATAGCTTTTGAACCTATCACACCCTAACCGAATATAAAATATTTGATAAGGGGAATGTATTATTTTTTGATAGAGAAAGTATCGAAGTCCTCACCCACTTTTAACTCCCAGACAATTGCTGACACTGACTGATAGATTTCTTGTGTTCAAGAACTGTGAAGTAGAATTGTGAAGTATATATTGTGAAGTTTGTAAAGAAAGAGCTGCTTTCTCCTTGGCTGAAAGAATTAACTGTAGCTCAGTGATAACACCAGACTTTTCACTTCCACACCGAGATTGTTAGTGTATGTAAAGGTGACTATGTTTAGATATAACTTAGAGAACTCATGTCTGTAAGAAGTTCATCACTTTCAACCCTTTCTGGTTTCAGTGAGGAGTAAGTTCTGAAAACCTCCAAGTTAGCTATGTTGCTGAATTAAGCCTTCAACACTGTTGTGTTTGACAAGTTCTACCACTATTTAATATTGTTAAGTAAAACCTATTTCTTAATTTTATACCTATCTCATTTCATCTAATCTATTTTGGAATTCAATTTCTCCCAGACAGTTGATTATTTCTTGTTACATTATCAAAACATACCCTTTTTTCTGTTGGCCTTGGTCAGAGGTTAAGAACATATACAAGAGTCACGAGTATAAATTACTCACAAATTATTTTTCTGGAACTTCAGATATGTATTGGAGTTGGGGTGAATGTTTTGTTTATTTGAAAGTGGTTTCCAACTGTGTAACAAGTATATTGTAACACCGTACTTGTAGAAATGGCCAAAAGAAAAAAAAAAAAAAGCTTCATTAATTTCAGTCATTACAGCATTTCCTGATTTCTGAGTGGTTAACCACAGTTGAGATATGCTAAATAATATTAAAGTGCTAATTCTTCTCAGTGTTTGTTGGCATAGGTTTTCTTAAGCATTTTCAGTTGCACGGGGTAAATTTTCCATTGTATCTCAGGCATTGAATTCTCGTTTATTTTGAGTTTTGAGTGTAATTTGTACAATGCAATTGTTATTAGTTACTACTGTTTTACAGGAGGGATAAATTCCACAATTAAAAGCTTAAAAACCTCTTGAGGCAGAAATCTGCAAAAACATGATTAAAGACAACTCATTTTCCAGAAAGGTTCATAAGCCAAAGTCAAGATACCACTGTGGATAAGCAAGCAACAGGAAAGAACAAGAGCAGGAAAATGACTGAAACCACAGAGGAACATGGTTAATTCTTATGTCCTAAACCGGATAGAGCCATAAATGCCATTCTTGGTATAAATGAATAGAAGTTATTCAATTGGCAGAGCTTCATTTGCACGGGAAAAAAAAAAAAAAAGAAGATATATCTATATATTCTAAAATTCAATTTAGTACTGTAGCTTCTTTCACAGTAATGAATGTCACCTATTAACCTTGGTTCTTAATTTGATAGCACTGATGACGTTTTAAAGTAAAAGTAGGGGCAAAGGGAAAAAGCCCTGTAGCCCAGTGTGCTTTATGTTCAGGTACCAAGTGTGAGCTGTATCTGCATAATTGAATGCACATGAGATTTGTCTGTGAAGTAATCATTTATTATGCAAACACTAGGACTTAATTATATCAAATTTTATTAAATATGTACATGTTATTACTATTTAAAAGAACTGGTATCATTCTCAGATCTGCAAACTTCTCTCTAGCTTTGAGAGCTGCGGCAGAGCCTGTATTAATGCTAGTCTGAAAGCTGTAAGCTAATGCAGTGTCACTGTGAGTGACACAGCACCACCCTTGAAGGAAAAACTTCATCAGCTGTATTCCTTAGTTACAATACAATCAAAAAAATCTTTCACGACAATAATATATTTGTACATTGCTTATATTTCCCAACTCTGTCCAATTTGTAGGATGGAAGCAAAGAATTCTGTCATGTTTAGGATTCTCAGATGCTGAAAAAGGGAATTCGTACCAGAAACATCTGATCGTAAAGGCCCTTTAGAGGCAGAGAAGGGGGCACAGGAAGCAAAGAGAAAGATGCGTCCATCTCCTCTGCTGATTTTCAGCCAGGAGGTCTTAATATTTTTCTTGCTTAGGGTCCCGTGGCCTCAGTGAGGATAATGCTTCCTATCAGTGACCCCCCTTCCCATCACCTCTCCACTAAACTGGTAGGTCAGCTTCTTCTTGACCTTTTTGACCTCCCCTGTCTTGCCGTAGTTTCTCAAAGCCCGTGCCATCTTCTGGTAGGTCATTTTCTTGCGATTGCCCTTCTGTATTCCCCAACGATGTGCCAATGCTTCTTTGTGTTTGGAGGAGAACTGGAAAGTACCTTTTTCTTTATCTACCCACCAGATGCTGTCCTTCATGTCTCCACTTCGAAGAAGGTCCAGAAGGAACTGATACAGACGAATCTTTTTCTTGCTGCCTGCAAGAGAGAAGAAAGGCAGTGGAACATTAGTGTTACTGTGTAGGGTTTGATGGAACAGGAGAATTTGTCAGCCGTGTATTTCTTCGATTTGTTGTATTTATAAAAATAGTGTTGCACCATGAAGACATAAAGTGGATTGATGTGCCAAGAAGAAAAACTTAAGAATAAGAAATTCCAAAGATTTAACCTTTGTTATAATTTGAAAATAATTGAGAAACATTACTAGTTTGAAACCAATCTGAAACTAATTTGGGCAGGCTATACAAGTACCGAGCAATCAGAGCTCAACATTCTTAAAAATCAGTTCCTTAAGCTTCTTGTCTTGTTTTTCACGTCTGTTAGAGGAAAATGAAGTAGAAATGGCAAAACCTGGGGAGAAGCCTGAATACACAAAACAAAAGGAAGAAGTAGGAGTACATAAAAAAATGATATTTGAGATACAGACACAACTGTGGTGACAAAAGATTCAGAAGACAGGAGAGTGCAAAGGAGTCAGGGAAAGTGAAGGTTTGGCAGTGGGATAAAATACTAACAGTAGTTCAACTTTTTTATTCATTATTGTCATTTTAATGTAACAGCTGCTCAGCAAGAAGCACTCGTTTCACTGACCTGTTTCGCCATGCATGATTCCAGGCCCAGGGTCCACACCATCAGTCTCCCCATCTGATACCTCCAGTGGTGGGCTTTGCCTCTCAATGTCCTCCTCATCAGAACTGGGCTGTGGTGGAGAGGAGTACTGTAGGCACATCCGGGGCAAATAGGAAACCTTTGAGAGAAAAGAGGAGTAGGGGGAAGCAGGTAGCAAAAGAGAGTAAGGGCATCAAGAGAAAATTTGAGATGTCAGAGAGAGTTACAGAGAAAGGGGGGAGAAAGCAACAGGCATATGAGTTTGTTTAGGTTAACAGTGAATGACTTAGAGGCATTAAAAAATAAATACTACACAGCTAAAAAAAAACCCTCCACATAACAGTCAACACTTAATCTATATGCAGGGATACATCTTAAAAAAAGTATTTACAAGAGAAAAGGAGAAATTATATTGTGAAAGAACTTTCCCTTATGTTATATCCTATGCAAGTGATATTGTCCTCCTTTCCCCATACTTCCTGAGTACTTTCTCTTTCTAGTTTACATGCATTTCTTCTTGCTGATGATGGAGATAGCTGTACCTCTTATATAAGAGAATCCTACTTAAGAAGGTGGAAAGAGTTCTACATAGTAACAGGTTTCCTAATAGGCTAAGAACTTTTTTGTGTTTTGTTTTCTTTTTTTCTTCTGGTTGAAGACAATATATTCCTATAATTGCTGTCCTACCTAATATACTGATAATTGTATGAACCATTTTTAAAAACGAAAATTTAAACTCAAGTCTTCTGGATAAAAAAACTCTATTGGTAATAATTGCTTTGAGAATACCTTCAGAGCTTCTAAAACACAGCCAGACTCCTGCTATATGGTGATTATGTACCAAGATAGTTGAGTTTCTGATCTCCATTATCTATCCCCTATGTACAACCACTTTTGAGATCAACTTCCTTTCTGCCTTTTGTAATTGCTCTTTTGGTTTTGACAAAGCTGAACAGTTTTGCCCCAGCATAGCCTCTTTGACTGTCCTTGGCTCTGTTGTTCAATTCCTTTTTCAGATTTAGCAGCTTCTGACAACACTAAATGACTGTGGGACTGCATTTATCTCTGGAGCCAGGGTTACACATGTCTATCAACTTCTTGTCCTGAATTTCCCCTTGAGGAGAGAAATAGCTTTACCACTGGGCATATATCATGTTGGATTGTGTTCTCTTTTCCTAAGTGGCTATCTGAAAGTTCTCTGTTGATGGGGATTTCTCATCTGCAGAGCTGGCAAGCTGGCTTCTGTGCTAGGGAATTAGCTTGCCCTTACATAGAGGTCTTGTCAGGAACAGTATGGAATACACCACAGCTCTGCAAATTCTCATTTGCAGTGTGGTTTGTTGGGGCTTATGATCAGTTGCCTATAATTATTGCAGTTCCTTGATGAAGAATAAGAAATAGACTAGTCTGAGGGGCAGGAAGTAAGAACCCAATTTCTACATAAAAAATAAAAAATAAAAAAAAATCCCTCAAATCTAGCAGGAAATAAAATGTGGTTCTCATGAAATGAGCCAGATTGGTACCAGAGGAGGTGAGCTCCTTTTGAGTTGCTCTTCCTTCCCTCCATCAAGGCACGACATTTTGAGCGTGATTCCCTCTCTACAGATTTGGGCGCTGAGGCACAGAGTGGGTGCTCATTTCATGAGTCATACCACCCACCCGATGTCAGGCTTGGTCAAGTGGTGCTTTTCAGATGAGTTTTGCACCAGTTTAATATGTCCCAATAAGGAGCGTGCAAAGCGCTGGTTTCAAGGCAGAGCAGCTGGCGGTTAATGAGTTGGCAGATTGGTTGGAGCTGAACATGGCAGGAAGGCCAGGATTGGGTAAGAGTGTGTGTAAGCTTCCTGTCAGATCCCCAAGAGCGAAACTTTAGCCCTCACCACAGAGTCACCTTCAGCTTTTTTACAGTTAAAAAAGCTGTAGCCTCAGGGGTAGCAAGGAAAGAAGAAACAATGTCATGGGGGAAGGAGAATGAGAAGGTGGGATGGTGTTTTAGAATGAAGGAAGAAGAACCTGCTGCCTCTGCAAAGACAAAGGCTATGGAAATCTAGAGTGTATTGGGGAGCAGTGGGAGTAGATTCTACTGGACCTAGAGTGGGAAAGTGGGAACATGCTGTGGAAGATGAACAGCATCTCACAAGCAAAAGAAGGTGCAGAGACTAACTGAGCACTAAACAGAATTTCCCCATGCTGTCTCTACTTTTCCCATCTGCTGTATCTTTCTTACACCCATTTCAGCAGTGCCTCAGTGTAGGTCCCAAGAATGCTACACAGAGTTGCAGAAGACCTGCTATTTTGTTTGAGAGAGCCAACTTGTTAATACAAATCTGGAGAGAGAAAATTTCTAGCTGCTTTCTGTATTCTGATATCTTCTCAGAATCTGTGGCATCCAGTTGTAGTTTTCCTCCTTCTACAGCTTTTCACAGTTTTCACAGAATAGAGTTATAGACTCCTTAGAGTTGGAAGGGACCTTTAAAGGTCATCTAGTCCAGCTCCCCTGCAACGAACAGGGACACGCACAGCTAAATCAGGCTGCTCAGGCCTTGATCCACCCTCATCTTGAAAGTCTCCAGGGATGGGGTATCAACCACATCTCTAGGCAACCTGTTCCAGTTCCTGGCCACCCTCACTATAAAAGACTTTTTCCTTATTTTCTATCCATTCCTTTCACTCTCCCTTCAGAATAAATATTCTTTTCTTCATTTTTTATTTGATGAGACCATCTGTTTGAAAGTACTGTTGTCCAAAGATTGTGCTTTGAATTTGATTTGACAAAATAATATTGTATCAACTGAAGATCGGAGAAATACAAGGTCTGCTCTGAAAGTCATGCTTTCTATTTTTTTTATGTTGGCCCACAACCTCAGAGGTGGATGTTGGTGGTATGGCAGCAGTAGAGGATCAGATTGACAAAATGGAGTCTGACATGGAAGTGTGTCTGAAACAAAGGTGTGTTACTGAATTCCTCTATGCAAAAAATGGCACCAACTGACCTTCATTGATGCTTGCTGAATGTTTATGCAGATCAAGCAGTGGATGTGAACATAGTGAGGCAGTGGATGGTGTATTTCAGCACTGGAGGCAGCAACAATAAAGGCCTGCGTGGGCAACATTTTTCTAGCAATGATGCAGTCATAGGAGCTGTTAAACAATGGGTCACCTCTGCTGATGCATATTTCTATGAGCGCAGCATGCAGGCTCTTGTTCATCACTGGTGAAAATGCATAGTTAATGGTGGTGACTATGTTGAAAAACAGCGTTTTTGTAGCTGAGAATTTGGTCTATCAAATAGTGATATTGTAATTTCTGTGGAAATAAATAGGAGGCATTACTATCAGAGAGACCTAGGTATCTTCGCATGTTTTTCCTTAATTTGCAAAGTGTAATTCTGCATGCCAGCCAGGGATGCAGGTAGTTAAGTGGAAAATTCAGCTGAGGAATAAATTTTCCTTCCTGCCTCAGTTTCCTTAGAAATGCCTTGAATAGCAAAGTGTTGCCTAGAACTGTGGCTGACATGCACCGAAGTCTGAACTTCAGAGCATGTTGAGCACTACTTGCATGAGCAACCATAGGTTAAAGTAAAAAAATAAACCACAAAGATTCCCAGCTGGTTAGGAAGAGGAGAGTAGTGATGGGCGTCTATTAGTGTCTTTTCCCCTTGGGAGAGAGAGAACACAATGCAGCGAAATTAATTCTCTGACAGTACTCCTGAGACAAACAATGACAATTGAGGAGAATGAAAGTGGGTTAAATAGAAGTACCCTCTCTTATTTTTTGGTGGTGTTTCCAAAGACATTTGTAACATGGTCAATTTTTTTCTTTGCCTTTGGTTGGATGTAATGGTTGTAACATGCTAGCTGTTGCACTGAGCAACTGAAAGGACTTGAAGATTCCCACAGGCTGATGTTCTATTATTTGTCCTAATTATTTCTTTGTAGCTACATCTTATATTCAGATCCTGATTTATTTTTTTTTTCAGTAATAGGTAAGAAGTTTGATGGTTTTCAGTAGGTCAGTTTCCTGTTGATCACGTTAACTTACTCAATTTTTAACTTGTTTATAATTTATATGGCATTTACATACAATTTCCGTTTGCTTTGAATAAAAAAAACCACCCTAAAATAACAATTGCGTGCATCCAGTTTCTCTCACAAAACCTCAGCACTGACACCGTTACATGCAGAAGGGTAATCAGCAACCAGTTCTTTCTCTGGTCTCATTCCTAGCCTGTCTTGTATCGAGCACATTGTCTGCAGTTTGTCTGCCCTGGGAAACTCCTTGGCACAGGATAACACAGCTTTCTGCTTGCTTCCAGTAATGACATGGAGCATAATCTTGTTGGATCAGGAGTTAAAAGTGGTCTCCATACCCACTTTCCTCTAACATCTTTGCAATACCACAGAACTCGTTATAATTTCAGCTTTAGTGAGCATTCACTGGCACTCTGGTGACTGCTATACTTTGGAGCACCTTTTTTTTTTTTTTTTTTTTTTTTTGCAAGAGGCAAGAAAATGTGTTTTGGCTCATGATTTAGCTACTTTCAGATAAAAACAAACTGGGAGAAAAATTCTTGAGAGTAGCTCTGCTGAGAAGGACTTAGGGGCCCTTGTTGATGAAAAACTTAACATGAGACAGCAGTGCGCGCTTGCAGTCTGGAAGGCCAATGGTATCCTGGGTTCCATCAGAAGATGGGTGGCCAGCAGGGTCAGGAAGGTGATTGTCCCCCTCTACTCTGCTCACACGAGGCCCCAGCTGGAGTACTGTGTCCAAGTCTGGGGCCTCCAGTGCAGGAAAGTTGTGGAGCTTTTGGAGAGGGTCCAGAGGAGGGCCATGAAGATCCATGGGCTGAAGCATCTCTCCTGTGAAGACAGGCTGAAGGAACTGGGGTTGTTCAGCCTGGAAAAGAGAAGGCTGCAGGGAGACCTCATTGCGGCCTTCCAATATTTAAAGGGAATTTATAAATGAGATAAATCAGCTTTTTACAGCGGTAGATAGTGATAGGATAAGGGGAAAGCGTTTTAAACTAAAGGAAGATTTAGGTTAGATATCAGTTTTAACTGAGAGAGCATTGAGGTGCTGGAACAGGTTGCCCAGGGAGGTTATGGATACCCCATCCCTGGAACTGTTTATGGCCAGGTTTGATGGGGCTGTGGGCAATCTGATCTTGTATCTGTTAGCAGCCCTCCTGTGGTGGGGGTGTGGAACTTGACCCGTGAAGTCCCTTCCAATCCAAGCCTCTCTATGATTCTGTGAAAACACAAGTAGGCTGGCCACAGTATAACATCACCGATGAATTGTCTTTACTAGGATTTCTTGCAGCAGGTCATACAAATTTGCTGGAGTCACTTGGAATTTTTAAAACATTCCTGAAACTTAGGAGTTCAGAATACTGCCCAGGAGTAAAGGACAATTTTGCTATTACAGTGCACAGTTTTTCAGGCCCAGTTCCTCTCTAGGATTTCAAAACAGTTTATTGTCATTCCAAATTTTTAAAAAATCTGAATTTCAGAAACCTCCACAAAGTGCAATAATCTTTTTATGCACATTTGAGGAACATGGTTTCTCATCATCCCGATAAAACTAATGTTTAAACCACATTTGTCCTGAGAAGGAAGAGTTTTGTATCAAGTACTTGTGCAGTCATATAATTCATAAGCAATCCCTTTGGCATATGATGTTATCTGTTCCTTGTCCTTAACCATCACTATAATTCTGCATAAGGGTTGGTGACCATACCTGATGGTTGAGTCCAATATGTGTGGTTGGGATTGCAGAATCCAAGACATGCATTTGTTCAATCTCCATGTGCCTGTAGAGCTGCTGCAGCTGGGGAGGCTGTACACTCTGCAGTTCTGTAAAGTGGTTATCTCCAAAGGTCTCAAACTCACTGTGCATGTGGTGTGGATGATATTCCCAGTAATGATCTAGAGAGAATAACAGTTTGTCTATCATTACAAAAGTAAGAAACATGGCACTTATGTGCCTTTCACTGGTTTCTACTCCTGTCACTCTCTGCCTACTCCATGCCATCCCTGTAGACCTGTCTTTCCTTGGTGACAATCTCTATAGATTTCTGTAAAGTTTCTTTTCCTAATCTCCAAAACATGTATGGCTGGAAAGCAGTACTTATGCTTCTATATGTAGGAAAGTAATCTTAGAAAGAGTGATTGATTTTGGTGAGAATGTAGCACAAGATGCAAAAGATGTTAATGCTGGCACCTGTTTTAGGAAGAGACCGTAACAATCCTACCTTTTCATTTTCAATTTACATATTGTCAGATTGTAGTTACAGTTTTCTCTCTCTTTTCCTCATGTCATGGAAACAAGCAGATGAAAATTCTTTATTTTCATCAACTAGGAAAAAATTGCAGGAATGCTACATACAAGGCACAGGACTTTGCAACACATTTCCATAATCTGTTTCTGAATTTATTTACTTTTGAGATGAGATTAATTTCCATGCAATTCTCAGTTTTAGATCACTGTTCAATATAAGGTCTCCAAAATTTTCATATTTTCATTTTTGCTGCTCCAAATTGAAAAGCTGCTAGAGGAAATTCATGTCTTTCCGTGCTATATTTTTCTCTTACATGCAGTAGCTGCAGTCATAATTATGTACATATTTATGTGTACTCTTGTTTAAAATCAGTCATCATGTCCTCTGCTCTCACCAAGCTTAGATCTAGCCTTCCAGACTTTTCATACATTGCTCTATGCAACACCAGAATTTCTTCATAATTTCATGTAACTCTTACAGTTTATATCTTACTGTTCCAAGTTTTCTTCTTTTGTATTATTATAAATAATTTCTTCCCTACCCTTCACATGTTTTCAAGTTGTTAATATGTACTCTTACAATCTACTCCCAATAATCACTTTGTCCAGCTGCGTGTATTTAGTGCTCAGTCTTTCAATAAAAACCAGTATATTCAGCTCCCTAATTATACCTGTGCATTTTTCCAAATTCTTTCTCAGCTCTTGGCAATGTTCTGAATGTGACAGGCGGAATTAAATATATTGTTCCAAGTGTAGTTTTACTGAAGTGATAAAGAGAAGAGCAATTGCCTCATTCTGCAATATGGTGTTATTGTGTATGACATTATCTAACGTGCTAGGAATATTGTTTTCTCAATATCAATTTTGTCCTTTTTCTCAGCTTCTAACTCCTCATCCATCCCCACTTCCTTTTCAAGCAATTAAGTCTAGCCTCACTGGGGATCCGAAAATGGGGATAATGACTTTGAACGTGTCTTCCTTTAGAGGGAGCCCAGTGATATGTTTATTACAAACATAATTGTACTTGGTAAGTTGTAGCTTGTAGCTGCCTGTATGGTTCAGGCCTGTATTTGGAGGCTCTAGCAGACCACTTGCTATGCTAATGATTACTTTCTTTGTCCTTCCTGCTTTTCTGAATTGTGGATGAACCATGGACAAACCAAACTTCATGTTTAAGGGACGGAAATCTGCTCATAAAAGTACTCAGGGAGCTGCTGTATTACTTCGTAATTTCTTTGCTTTGTTGTATAGTATAGTGCTTTCCGTGGGTTAAATGTGATTTTCTAGCCCAAAGTTTTAATGCATAATTATAAAATAGCAACTCTTCCTAGCTTAGTGTTAGAGAAAAATTTTATTTTCTCTTGTAGAAGGGATTTTATGGATGCAACATACCCAGGTACTTGTTATATTCAAATCTGTTCAGGGAGTGGCAAAGCATGTGAGTATAACTGCATAGGTTTTCTAGCTGTCCTCGTAGGAGGGTTTGGACACTTTCAGTCTGAAACTTACTTGTTTATTTGGAAGTCTGAGCCATACTAACTCATGCTTTTACTTGGTTAATTTACTGAAGAGTTCTTTACTTAGAGCCAACCACGGAGTCCCACCTACCACTGGCAACTCATATGATAACTTGTAGTGAATTGTTGTGAATATATTGCATGGTTAATCTATGTAATCTATGTTTGTGTTCCTTAGAGTGATTTTACTCTGCTCCTTGTGCAGAAGCTCCTCTGTCAGCTGTCAATGTATCCACCCAAAGATCCATTGAATTTGAATATCTACTGCAGCAAAAGAGGTCAGTTAATAATCATAAGGATGACAAAGCCTAGACAAAGCTCTGTCAGGATGTCAACAGTACATCTTCAGCTGTTTGACTTGTAGTAGCTATGGTAGTAAGCAGTCAAGACAGTATATTTCTAACATGCATGAGTATTTATTTGTGCATACTCCAGGTACTCTACTTCTGATTCTTCTTAAACGTTTTTATTAGCAATGACATTTTTGTACTTACAGATACTTCTTAATCTGCTGAAGGTTATCATAAGCTTATAACAAGGTTCTTACTGTCTCCAGAACTGTTCTATACTCTTTTGTAGCAAAAAAAAAAAAAAAATAATAAATCAGTAGAACCTGTTCATGTTATTTGCTCATTACTGAATTCTTTTTTTATTGAATTATGTGCTGTTGTAAAAAATACAATTATGAGGACTTATCAGTGACCACATAATACTAAAATCTTACAAAATAAATCCATTCCAGAAATTACTTCAGCATATTAAAATTGTGACAGGAGAAAAATCTTTGTATCTTTCTAAGCTATTGGTAGTTTCACAGTGATACTTAGGAAAAAGATACTGTTTTAGTTGCACTGAAAATGAAATTCCAAATTCTGTGTTCAGACTCCTCCACAGTTAACCTTGTTGGCTGAGATATTGCACATTAAAAAAAAAAAAAAAAAATCTAAGTATCTGCATCTGCAGGTATTAAGAGTTATTTCCTTCCATGTTCTTGTTCCTGTTATTTTAACAATGCATAGTAATTCTTTTCAACAACAACTACAACAAAATAAAAATTAAAGTGGAGAGAAGAAAAAATAAAGGAGAAAAAGATTCTAGAAATGGAAAGTGTCTATTATTTTGGTCAAGGAAAATGTCATTAAAAGCCAAGCAATAGCTATACAACGGAGTCATTGTGAGAAATTTCTTGTGAAGTGAAAGAGGATGTGAAAAAAATTCTCTCTTATAGAGACATGGAGATGGTGTTTGTTTTGGTGTTGTATGTAGTGAAAGGTTAGAGGAAGGACAGTCATGAGCTCTAAACTCCCTCCAATGGCACAAGGGATGTTAGACTGTTGGGAAGCAATAGCAGACCTAAAAACATTGTGCTACTATTCACCATGGAGATAGATTCTTAATCTAAAAATGAGAAACATAAGTATAGTTTCTTGGTCATCCTTTGCCCAGTGTAGATTGCTTTGCTCCTGTTTTAACAGACAAATACCATCAGATCTAGAAGCTAAAATATGAAATAGGCTTAAGAGACGTGTTTATTATAGATTAACAAGATAAATTTTCATCATGCAGTACAAAACTGTGCAAGAAATTCCTGAGCCAGCTCCTGAACAGGAAATGCAACAGCTCTGTCAGCACAGCACTTTGCCTCATCTAAGACAATGACTCCTGACATAGCTGTGCTTATGAGTCTGAGCTAGTGGCTGAGTGGTTCTGCACTGTGCTACACAGATACTAAATGTGGCAGAGGATTTCTTATACACTACCACACTGTACAGCTTACATGTTCCCACTGTGTTTCACTTGTCTGAAAAAACAAACCAAGAAAAAACCCATAAAGGAAATGAGAAAAATATTGAAGGACACTGCAGAGACACTGAAAGACACTGAAAGACACTACAGGACTGCTCTACGTTGAGTGAAATGCCATATTCCTGAGCAATGTAGCAGTATTATCTCTGATAACAACAGAATCACATAAACTCTCACTTTAAATCTGACAAGCTTCATTATTTTTATAATGTTAAATGTTTGAAAATCCCTAATTCAGACCCAGGAAGTCATGAGAATGTCTTTAAAAATGTGAGGGGATTTTTAAATGAAGTTTGGAGTTCTTTCTATTTTCCTTATAGTATTTATGGCTAAGGTTCATGTTTGGACTTTCCTCCGCTTCTACGCTGGCTAAAATCCTAACAAAGTCAAATTAGAGTTTCTTATATGATCACATTACTCCAGGAGGTGGGAAGAAAATAAAATTCCAGCCCATAAAAACTGTTAAGTTTCATTGAAGCTATCAATAAAATGAACAATGGTCAACATTCAGCTACAAACAACAGGTGATTTTTATTAAACGAAAGCTGTTTAGTAATAAATTAGAGACAAATCTGCAATTACTAAGATTGCATTAGTGTTACAAAATATGCTATATTACATTTACAGACTCACTACTTTACAGTCTCAGAACAGAGTGATTGTCTAATACATGATCACTCAAAGTAGTTTCTGTCCTTTATGAAGGCATGTGCTTATAGTATATACAAAATAATTAAACTATAGTATGCAAAATAAATTCAGACAGTGCATGTTATGATCCAACATATGGGTTTTCTGTGGTGTGTTTTTGCATGTAGATTAAGTGTTCACTAACTGGCAGTGATCCTTTATGTATTAAAGTTAGTGATAAACTGCTGTGCTCTGTGCACTTCGCTACCTACTTAAGTAAACATGGAGTAAGGGTTTTCTTTAGCTTTGTCTTCTGGAAAAGTGTCAGCAATGCATGTCGCACAGATTTACAGTTTAACCCACTGCCATAGCTCCTTCACAAAAATAATTTGTTACCAGTGAGAGAGTCTGATGCTTGAGCAAGACTTTCTATTTAGTGTCTATTTTGTTAGCAGTCCTACATCAGCACAGTCAGGATAATTATTCAGTTTTGTAGCATCTATTTGTTGTATCTGGCACTAGACCTGCAAAACTGGAACAGGTTTCAAGGCCAGGCTGGATGTGGCTCTGGGCAGCCTGGTCTAGTGGTTGGCGACACTGCCTATGGCAGGGGGTTGAAACTAGATGATCTTTGAGGTCCTTCCATTCTATGTTTATATAAAAACTGTATTGTATATATTCTCAGTGATCTCACTGTACCCAAAGCTGAACTCCTCCTCCACAATTCTATCCTATTTCTTATTTTTTTCCAATCTAGTCATGTTCTCACCCCTTTTACTTCACCATTATCACTGCAGCACCTTATTTATTCATTTTCCCCATAATTTGTCAGCCATTGCACTTTTATCCACGTTGCTCCGAACATTTAGTTGTTGGTAACATCCCTGCACTTCCACATGGCTTTTCTCTACTTGGTTTTTCACTCTGTGTATTTTACTCCCTTTGGATGCATTGTTGTTCATTGCTCTCTTAGGTGGTGACTAATTCAGGAGAGCATTTGACATGTTAGGTATTTGGATATAACCAACTACATTGCAAGTGCTGTCAGAAATAAAAATTGGAATGAAATGTTCAGGCTGGGATAAAGTTGCTTCTTGGTGTTGGTTTTTTAGAGTCTTTTCAAAATGTATGGGTACTACTTGGGCCATAACTCACAAAGGTGACTTTGTGTTTTTGTAGTATTCATTGTGACAAGTAAAATCATGTTAATGATCTGAACAGTGTAGCTTAGGAACAGAAGAAAAATTGGGCAGTAAACAGGTGGGATGATAAGACTATGAAAGATAGAGGTGTTGCTGCTTTATGTAACCTATATTTAATGACAGAAATGTCCTTTCCCAGTGCTTTTTCCTACATGGCATATTTTATATTTATTGTTTAACTATCATAATTGCCTTTTGAGATAATAAATGTTATCCTCATTTTATGGATGTGTAAATAGTCTTGGTTTGTACTGTAAAAACCCTGAATTTCCATGTGGAATTTCCTAGGTTTGATGAACGTTACTTCACAGAGGCCACGAGATAACTTATAAAAAAAAATGAAGTAATTCTTTGTCTCTAGGCCTTAAGAATATCATTTGTCTTTCCTGAATACAATGTAGAGAACAAATTTAGGTAGGAATCTTTTTCAGTTTAATGCCCTATTCTGTAACTTGCTATGCTGTGAAATTGTCAGATGCCTTAAATTATGTAGTGATGGATCTAGTTGCTATATCAATAAGAGTCTCTTAGGGAAATTCCAGGTTCTGAAGGGACTGCCACAAGTGATACAGAAAAACGGTGCTTTTCCTTCTTGAGTCAATATTGACCCTGATATTTCCAGTGTGGTGTTGTCAGACCATTGTACTGTGCAGTAGACAAAAGTCACAAAGCAGGACTCTCCCCTCTGCATTGATTTACAGTCCAGTCCCCACAAGATTTGAAAATACAGAAGATACCAAAGCTCTGAAATTGTGTTCATAATAATGACAATTTATTTCACTTTTAGCTAGGTTTATGTACAAACAGCAACAAGGAAGTTTTACGTAGATTTAGAGAGAGGAAGTACTTGGGTGTACTGGAGGAAGAGTGAAAGTTGAAGCTAGGTGTGGTGGCATGCGAAAGAGATCAAAAGAAAGAGAAATATATGGAGCTAGAAAAAGCCAAATGCTGGGGAAAGAGAATTAGAATAAAGGTACAGAGTATTGAAGACCTAATTCAAAAAGGAATTGGAGATGGGAGTACAAGAAGAGTAGTATAGTATTGCAAATTCATGTCCTCTGACTTCTGAAACAAGCAGAGTGGTTTTGATCTGCAGAGGAAATTAAAAATGCCCTGGAGATAATGAAGAACGGAGATCATAAGGTCCCACTTTCCTGGCAGTACACTGAAATATCCTAGAAGCACCCTGCATCATTTAGTGCTTTTTAAATTCTCTTTCAGAGAAATCATCACTGGGTTGGAGCAGTATTGTTAAGCAGAAGAGATTAAGCAGAACAGCATATTGTTGATTTCTGAGCTAAAATTATCTCCCTGTAATGTTATAGATTGCAGCAGCTTGTTTGTTCTTTTCCTGAATGTCCTAAAATCTTTTTCCAGTGGTGTACCATGAGACGTTATGTTCCAAGGAGATATTTTTTAACTTACCACCATGACTCTCTCCATCACTGTTGAGATATTGGTAATAGTCATGGGGCTGTCGGTAGAGGTCTGACTCATAGGACACCATATCTTCAGAGGGCTGTAAAGTGAAAAGGAAATTTTTAGAACTGTAAGCCTAGACAAACTCCTTCAAAATTATAAGTTATTCATATCTGTTAGTGAAGAGAAGATGCCAACACATTTTATATTGCCTAGAGAAAGAAGGGGGAGGTTCAAGTTCTTATTAAAGCAGCAGAAGTAAAATGCTTGACACCAAGCAAGAAAAAAAAGAAAAAAGAAAAAAAAAAAAAAGAGAGAAATCCATATCCTCAGATGTGGTTAGAGTTTTCTGCTGTCTGTATAACATAACTTGTTATGCGGTACTGCACAAGTTCCTTATAACCCATCCTTGAACCTCTGCCCAGCTACCTTGGACAGGAGGCCCAAGCTTAGATACCACCACATCAGCACAGCAGAGAAACATTCTCTTTCATAGTAACAGATACTTTTTCTTCTTCCTCCTGTACTCAACAGAGAAAGAAGAAACTTGCATAAGCATGTTATTCTGGGTCTTTTTAAGCAGGTCTTACTAAATTGTGACAATTAGCAGGGGTAATGATGTCAACGGAGGGCAGGAAAAGAATTTTTAGCAAGGCAGTGACCAGTTAAGTTCATGACAATAATTTCTTCCAATCTGAAAAAAGTCCTGTGATGTCAGCAGCAATGTAGAAACGAAAAGCCTTCTTGCAACTTACTCTGAAAGGAAATTATTTCTGAGAGGTACTAATAGAACCATTTTTCTTCTGTTAATGCCTTTAGCATAACACACTTTAAAGAAAAGGACAAATTTAAAATAATACAATAACCGATAAAAAAACATGTGCATATCCTTCTATGCTCATATATTCACCAGTCTTTTGCAAACTTAGGCTATGGTGACATCATGCTAGAAACGCAGGTGAGGCTTCTCTTTTTCTTATTCCTTTAGATTCTCATGAACAAGAACCCTATGGCATTAGTTGCCATTAAGATCCAAATGGCGGTGGTAGATAAGCAGCTGACAAAAATCTGTCAGCTCCCCATATAATCTACGATGGTAAATAGCTGTTCTGAGAAAGTTGTAACTATAATTTCTTGAGAAAATTATAACTTACAGTAGACAATGTAAGGAAATACATTGGAAATAGACAGTAAGGGAATACTAAAGAAAGGGAGTAAATTATCATTTACTAATACCACAGCAGGGATACACTGAAGAGACTCCTCTTATTTCTGGTGTCTAGAAGTGATAGGTCCAGTTTCCCTTTCCAAATCAATGTGATTCCAATAAAATTTCCCTTTGACTAGGAGAGTTTTAATGAAGAGGGTAACCCACTTCTGGATTTCAGAGGGGTGATAAAAGGAGACAAGCAGCACACACGACTTCTCTCCGATGCTTCTGTTTTTACTGTGCATATTTTCTTTGTGTTCTCTCTAACCATGACTGATTATATGCATTCGGTCATCCTGATTTCTTACACCTGTGGTGTTTTCTGATCTCTTCAAAGGAAAAGCAATGAGGCTTTGCTTTGCTTTCTTTACAGACCAGACAGGAGGATGATATTCTGAATGGAATTTCTTGTCTTCCTTATCTCTGTAAATTAATTCACCCTACTACTCCATATTCATAAATATATGCTTTCTGTTAAAATTGTGTAGCCTGAAGAATGTCAATCTGAAATTTCTGCCTTTATGGGATATCAGCCTTCACACTCAGAAATGATCATTTGTCATAATTCAGAGGAAAACACAGAGAGACTTCAACATCCAAATGGAAAATGAGTATCATTCTCCTTGGAAGAAATGGATGTTAAAAAAAAATCATAGAAAAGTATATAGAAAAGTATATATACTTGTTTCCTTTCAGTTCAAATATGCTAAACTGTCTGAAATTATACATATTTTCCATATATAAATGCATAAAAAGTTGTAACTCCAATAGTAAACAAATTTCCAAAGAAATCAGTGTGTAGTCAATTAAGCTTTATTTGCTACGTATAAAGCTTCTACTGCTACAACAAAAACTTTATCAGTCATGCTTTTACAGGCCAAACAGCAGTCCAAAAGAAGATAAATGACAAAAATTCAAAAATTTTAGACATTGAAAAGAATAATTGACTTGCCTAGTTGCATTCTTCCTTAGCTGTCTCTTCTTCCCTAAGATTTTCCAAACTCTTGTATTACAGTCTAATATATACTTTATCAGCCAATGGTCTCTCACAGATTGAAAGCTGAGAATGAAGTACTTCTACTGATGAAAAGCTTGTTTTACAAGTTCAGATGTATACAATGACCAGAGCTAAAGGAAGGTGTGTTAAATAGACTCTTAAAAAAAACAATTTCCCTAACTGTTACAGTTCTCTACAAGTGCAGATACTCAGCATCTTCGAAACAGTCTGCTTTTACACTGATCACTTTGTTTACATACTCTCTGTTGAAAGTCTGGGACTTAGTCTCTTTAGTATGAATTGTAGGAATTTTCTTGATTTTTTTCCTGCTTACTAGTCCATTGGATAGAATATGTATGTGTCTGTCCTTATTTATTTACACAACCTGGACCAATCCATCACCATAAAGGACCTGAAATGCCACCATTTTCCATATTGGTGTCTGATCGTCAAGAGTACATAAATTAATATGGGAGTATTTATATTAAAAACTTAAATAAGCTTGTCTATCATATTTTCCATGATTATTTTTATCCTATGAAAATGTGGGATATTTTCCTCTATTCAACAGATAAAATATATCCAAGACCCTGTTTGAAATCTCTCTTTGAGTCTTCTTCTTTTAGGTTTTATTTAAAACTTATTTGTCTCTAGTTGGAAAGAAGAGGTTTCACCCTGTGCTGCCTCTTGCACTAATCATTACCCACTTTGTCCTTCTCTGGAACCTCCCCACCCACACACACATTTCACCATCTTTCTTACTAATAGCACTTCCATGACATTGAACTATTTTGTTTCACCAGGCAAAAAGCAAATAATTATTTATTTTATAATTAACTTTTGAACTGATTTCAATGGCCATTTGTTCTATCAATTGTTTTCCTGCAAAACAGTGACTGAAAGATTTGTTAGCAACTCATAGCTGTGGCCTGAAGTTGATATCTCCTTTCCTGCATGCTCTGAAGTGCAGTATGTTATCTAAAACCATATTCCAACCTAAAGAAAGAGGTCAGTATTTTATCTGTCACAGACTATGGTAAATGGAGAGTTGCTTTTATCTTCCTTCTTTGCTCTGGAAACTCATGGGAAAAGCCACAAAACTTATTGGAGAAAGTTTGGTTGGCATTGGTTAAGTGCAATACAGGAGACTCAACTGAATAACAATCCAAAAATTGTCCTGGTCAGATGATTCCAGGTGATCATAAATTCACTACGTGCATTCATTATTATTCTACCATAACTATTCTGTGATACAGAAATACTCTACATGGTTTCCAACAATGTGCTGCTGAGACAAGTTTTAGGGCCAAGATTAACTATATTTCCTTGGGGAAAAAAAAAATACAGTATAACTATTTTAGAAAAGATGAGTAAAAATGCTAGCATGATCACTCATTGGGCCAGCCTTACCAGACCACTGGGGTGAAGCAGTTTTGTGGAATAGCAAGTTTGGAGAGACTTTTTTCACTCTCAAACCTCCATGTAGAACCTGATTTCTACAGGTGAATACTTTGGCCCTACTCAAATATATAAATAGGGCCCACTTAGAAGGCTTGGGTCCACTTTGCAGAACTCTGCCATACAAATATTCATAGTCTTTGGAGAAATATGTGTGCTCCTAAAATTTTTGAGTAGCGTCTTCCAAAGGAAGGTTACAAGTTTCCCAGCAGAGTTGAGAAGAAGGCAGTTGTTGACCCACCCTCAACTGAAAGGGGAGGGGCAGAGGAGGAAAACGTTGCTTCACAGGAACCTCCGTGCAGAAACAGGGTAATGTCTCTTCTCAGAAAAAGTCCCAAGAGGCACAGACATTTATAGTGATGCCATGCTTGGGCTGTAACTCACCCTGCTCAAAGTGCACTTGAAACAATTCTGAAAGTATGAAACACATAAATACTCACTTTTGAATGCATTAATCACAAAAATAAGAAAGAAATTACCGAGTGTTCCTTTAAGATGTAATTGTATTTTTACTGCCTATTGTTTCATTAGCCTGACTTCAGCCAGAATACTAATTGCAAAACAAATTAGAATATAAACGAGACTATGTTAGATTTTTACTCACAGAATTACAGAATTGCAGGTGTTGTAAAGGACCTCAAGAAATTGTTGAGTCCAACCCCCCAGATTATTCAATGTATTAACTGGAATTCAGTACTTTAAGAAAGAGTACAGGAAAGTTGGCTTTGAGTGAATGAGTAGACAGAAAATCAACAATAATAATAAAACTGAGATGCTGCTTGCTGGGTAGTTGAGGACAACGTTTGGGTGCTTTTGAAGGGGATTTTTGTTAAACTCACCAAGTAACATATTGAAAAATCTATAAATTGTTGTTTTTCATGCTCTCAATTTCTTTTTGGGTATTTCTGCTGACATACTTATAAAAATAAAAAAAAGATTTTTAGAGTCTTCTCACACTTTGGGTAAATAGTGAATTTTAAGGTAACCACTGATTAACTGCTAGAATAAACAGTCTCCCAAATGTAAGAAGCAAGTATTTTTTTCAATCAATATAGATTCCAGACAGAAAAGAAATTCAAATTACCGTTTTTTTTTTTCTGGAAATCTGAAGATAAGGAAATATGGCTTAACCTTCATTAGGTGGGACAACAGAAAAAGCAAACATGATGTGTGTTTTATTAAAAGGACTCTTGGTTGGGCATTGTCTTTTTTTTCCACATATAGCAAATACTGTAAGTTATCTACCACATTTAAAAAAAAAAGCCAATTAAAACACTTTATCTGATATCACTCTAGGTTATACAAACTTCATAAAATCTTGTTAGGGCCTCTTTGTCCCATTTTGCTTAGAAATGCCCCATGAAGGTTTGTTTCTCAATGACAGGCTAGTGCCATTACATTTTTCATAAAACTAATCTTCAAACTCATGGTAGAATATATTACAGCAGCATAACAATGCTTCAGAGTTAAAAAATAAAAAATAAAAAAAGGAAAAAAAAAAAAGATAGAGGTAGCCTTGTTATCATACAGAAGAATTTGTGTCTAACAGAAAATACTGAAAGGCCCAGTTAAGCGCAGTGAAGTTTTTCCTCATTCACCAGGTACTTTTTTACAACATGTGAATTCAAGAAAATTCAGATTCAAAAGAAGGTGAAGGTAGAGACTAAAATGCCATCATTACAAAGAGTACAGAGTCCAAAAATCTACAGTACTTAAAATCAGTATTCAGCAACTCTAAGACTGGCAGAAAGTTAAATACACAAGTATATACGTTTACAATTACAACTCAAAGCAAGAGTTGGCCTAATATCACAAAGCTGGTACTTGTACTGACTTGCCATATGCATATCATACAGAACTAGCATACATTTAATCTCTGAAAGCAAATGGAGATCAAGATCCGATACAAGCGTAGGGAGGAAACGTTAATTTCCCATTCACTGTAATGTTGTCCCAAGCTGTATATATTGACCTGAACCCATGCTCCCAGCATTACAAATGTACCAAAAGAGGACATTCTCAAATATTAAAATCTGGTTTACTTTGTCTTTTGCTACTGAACCCAATGATCCACATTAGAAATAAAGTCCGTATACTCACAGGGGGAATGAGGGGAAATCCTTCCATTTTGCAAGCTTGCAACATTCAGCCAATTTCAGAGTGAATTTTTCTTAATTCAGTTTTCAAACATCCAGAATAACTGACTTGAAAAATCACATGAAACAAACAAAAACAATTAAGAGAAAAAAGAAAGAAAAAAAAAAGAACAAAAGTGAGATCCTTGGACTCCGTGAAGTCCCTTTGCAGTGGTGGATCTCAGGATGGGAGAATAACCCTAACAAGTTTTCATAGTTTGCCTTAATAGGTTCTGAGGTGAGCTTCTTTCCAAGTTGTATTTGAAGTTCCTGATTTTTTGAAATGTCTGTAGAAGGGAGATAGCCTTGGTCTATCAGTGCGCTTGTGACATCATCACAGCTCTTAGCCAGTTTGCATAAATCTCATTTCAGGGAGCTGTGGCGCTCTAACAGGAAGTCTGCCGCAAGCCAGATCTGCCATGGGCAGGTGCTTGCTGTATAATCAGCAACCCAGCGCCTGGGCCTGCTACCAATAAACAAGTATATGGGTACAGTGTGCTGTGGTAAGCTTATGTACTTCCAGCTGAGGAGGAAACAAATGATGGTGCTGCTCTCTGGTTTAAGCCTGACAACTTCTGTGAGAACAGCACAGTGGCATAGACTTGCTTTAATAATAGCCTTGTATTGGAATTGAGAGAAAGGAAAGAAAACAGTATGCAGTTACAAGTACACAAGTACACATTCTCAAATATTAAAAAAAAAAATTATTATATTTTTTAAACGAGTTTTTAATGTTAAAATGTAATTTTCTACAAAACATGGTTTTCTACAATGTAGAACAAACAAATGTAGTTTTCTACAAAACTGAGCCTTTGAGACTTTCTCCATAAAATTTGCTACAGAGCAAAATTATACGGAGAAAAATATTAAATCTTCTTACTTGTTTCTTGTGATTTCTTTCTAGGCACTGCAAGGATAAAATAAGTGGGAAAGGAGAAAGCATTAAATGCCTCACATAATGGCTTTAGTTATCACAGAAGAGTGCCTTTGACAGTGAGTAGAGAACAAGGTTTGTAGACTGGTAGCTGAACAGCCAGATGTTGAAATTGCATGTAAAAATTTTGCTTAAGCTCTATGCACAAGTTCTTTCCCCTTTCTCTATCTCAGTCAATACTGCTTTGTCTGCACTGAACACGTGCCCTTCTCACCAAGGTTCAATCAGGGGCAGGGGTGAGTGGGTCACAGTGCAGGATGTAAGGGATGGGGCCTTGCTGCAATGGGAGAACTCTTTCATTCTGCAAAATGTCTTCTTGCTTTGCAATTAGTTAGTAATATCTTGGAAAAGTGAAGTTGCTTTCTCTGGGTTGTTCCCCTTCAGTGTATGCCCGTGTGCCACAGGTTCTGCTTTTGAAAGTAGCCTGTTCACCACTCACCTGGGTGTATGTATGAGGGGGAGTTTTAGCCACTGCAAACTTCCTCCCTCATACATTGGTAAAACCAGAGGCTACTCACAAGTTCCTCTCCTTCCCCACCCTAAGGAACCAAACAAGCAAACCATGTTAGCAATGGGATGAGATCAAAACACAATGGGAGATTAACTCTTGATGCCCAAGGCTGAATTTTACTGGCATCAGTAGATACATAGGCATTTCATTCTTACGTTACTTGTACCATGAAATCTTGACATTAACCTTGAAATAAGCAAGTTCCTAAACGGTCCATTTCTGCTTCAGAGATTATTGTCAAGTCTCCTTTTGGATAAAAGCTTAGAAGCGATCAGATCTATCTAGGGAAACAGGAAGGTGACAGCATTACAATCCTAATGATAAAGTTTAGCAAATACAGAAAAGAAAGAAGTATACAGTAGCATACATATTCATACATATAGGGTAATGAAAGGAATTGTGGAAACTGTATGTGTGTTTAAAAGGCTATTTAGAACAAAGAAATAGGCTATCTGATTCTCAGTATGATGAAAGATACATTAAGCAGCTACTGGAAGGTTTAAAAGTGTCATGTTTTGCACAAGGGGTTTTCTATTAGGGTGGAATGTAACTATATTTAATACACTGGAGGATATTTCAGCACTGCCCCTTAGCACAGGAAGTTACCTAATAAGGGTAGATAGTTTGCAGCAGTCTTACTGCACTCAGGGAAAGCTAGATTACCAACATTATCAGCGTTAACAACTGTGTTTAACATACAAGCAGTCATAAACACATTAAGCTTATCCACATAAATAATCAACTTGATTCTCTGTATGATGAATTAGAGCAAAACAATAGGCCATAAAGCTTGGGGAACAGCAGAAAGTCCAGAAGTTGAATAAACTTCCTAGGAAGGAGAGAATCTCCATAAATGGAAATGCTAGAAGTTAAACAGAATGCTTGTTTACACTATTATAGCTGTATGGAAACATCACCAGTGACATTCTTACTAAAATAAACAATAGACTTTCTCACTGTTGGATATAACTGGCATTTTATCCTATATTTGTCATCACAGAATACTTCTGCTCCTATAGGAAGGCCTTTTGACCTAGATCCTTGCATTTCTTCATTAGATTATTTGCATCCAGAACAACAGTTTAAGTTACCAAACAATTGAATACTAGACATCTGATTTCCGTATGACATGAACTGCTTCAAAAGAGCTTTTGTAGGAGGGTAGAGATATTTCTCCATGACAGGAATTTGGAGGATTGGAGAAAATCCTGCCTAACTGGAAGATTAAGTTTTTGAAAACACTTAATAATCATATTAATCTTAAATACTTTTCCTGTTAGCATCACCTCAGCCATGTGCAGCTTTTTGAAGCAGTTCCTCCTGTACCTCTACCCATTTAATCATCAAGCTTTTTCTAACCACAGTCTACCAGAGCAAAAGGATTTCATCTTGAAGCCACATCACAGAGTCCCTTTACCTCAAACCTTGCTTGGTGCTCAGAAAGTAATTTTTCTCCCTACTGAAACCATATACATCACTCATCCTGAAGCCCTTTAATAGAAGCAGGTGTGTACATAGATTCTGATGCTGAGTTTGCTTCTAACAGTAAGACAAGATCTCTAAACAAGCAATTCCTTTCTATCATCCATATCCTTCCCGGAACTATATTTTCCATCAAACTTATTGTATCTAGAGGTGATGTAGCTTTTTTCCCTGCTATATGGGCATCCCCTCCTAGAACTGATGCAGTTTTTAGTGCCAAAAAAGTGTTTTTGACAGTCCAGCTTTCATGAATTCCTGTATACAACTACATCTGTACAAAGACTTTTCCAGTGGGAAATGTCATTAAAATGTCATGAAGATATCACAATCTTAACTAACTTCACAATATTGGCAAAAAATTTCACATGTAGAATGGGCTAAATCCATATCAGAATGAAGACAATCATTTTCTTTGAAAGAAAGAGGAATAATTTAGGTGTGTATTAATTCAAAAAGCTTCACTTTTTTTGGAACCATATTACAACACACAATCACTTGCAATATTGAAAAGCATTTCATTTATCATATTATTAGTAACTTTCAAACTGTCCATAAAGCAGAATTCACCAAGGTAGCAAATTCATAATTTATACAGCTTCAAGATCTGCTTACAACTCAGCTATATTTGATTTTTTACTGTTATGACTTTATTTTGACTTTAAGGCACATTCAAACAGGTTAAAGATTTGATGTTAATGTTTAACGGTTTTCTTCATTTGCAGGCAGCAGATTTTCAATTCACATATTCCTGCTCATTTATAATCTGGAGACTTCTGTATGATTTCAAGCAATTAACATGGAAGAGTGCTTTAATACCACCTAATCTTGAAGTCTATGTTCCAGATACAGATTGCATTAGTAAGATGCAAGCACTTATGTTTAATATCCTCATAGAGTTATGTCTCGAAACTAATGCCCAATATCTCATTTCCATTTACATTCATCTGTCAGTTTCCCTGAGCTATCCCTCCAAATCAGATATTTTAATAGTAAAAATTAAACTATAAAGATGAGTTGCAATATGATTCAACAGGGCCTTACCTGGAGAGACAGAAAAAAAACACATTTTAGAACTGCAGTTATGATAAGTAACTGATCTAGACCCACCACTGGTATTCTTTCCCTGGGTCCATAGAGACCCTCTTCAGCTGTGGCAGAGAAATCTTTGCTGTGTGAACTTTGAGTTGGATATTTAGATAACTGTTCAGGTTCTGTTTTGAGAGTGCAGTTTTATCTATGAATTTGTGATTTTACACTTGCATCTTATTGGGTTTGTATCAATTATTCATCTCCCGGAAATCAAAAGAGAAAAGCACTATTCACAAATAAGCAATTCTTTAGGTAGATTCTGGGTTACAGCTGTGGTTCCTGTTCTCTGCCACCACTTTCATAAGGACTTTGTATTCGGAATTTTGTTTAAACAGAAAAACTGAGGCATGTAAAGCCAATACTCTGTGTACATCCTCCCTGGAGACATTTGGCTTTATAAGAGGTGTAGCATATGTGCAAGCCCTATGCAGCAGCTTTATATGTGTATGACTAGGATAGTCATACGCACATATTTTGTATATTTGTGTATAACAGACTCTGTAGCATATTATCTGTAGTGACTTTTTCATACCGAAGTAGTAACTGATATGAAAAATTGTGAAAGGTTTGAATTAATCTGTTTTTTGCTTCTTCTGTAAACTTAAATTACCTTTATGATAAGAAATTGATTCTTCAGTCTTTATTTTCTCTTTCTTGACTGTGGCGTTTTTCAGGTGCCTTGATATTTGCAAGGGAAGGTAAAATCCTGATATCTTTCACTGATTTTCTGATAGAAAAAGTTAGCAGTTTGGAGGAATGTAGATCTATCTTAAGCTGTTTGGTTGTTTAGAACCACAGTTTGCTTGCTGCTTTGACAAAGGATACATCGGGCATTTAAAGACTGCAGGCCTGATGAAGGAGTTAAACAGTTCTTTGTTTGGTTGAAGCTGTATTGCTCTGTATTTTGGCACTTTTTTGTTCTCTTGTTCTGCTAACAGTATCTAGATTGATAGTTTTTTTTCCTCCCTCCTTTTATTCCCATTGCTGCAACGACTGATCTTTTAACTTGAATTTTTTTTTAATGCAAACAGTTTTCTATACTGCCAGTTCAATATTTAACTGTACTGAACTGTATTTAACTCTTCTCCTTGTTGTACCAGAAGTATAATGTAAAAATAGGAATTGAACAAAGGCTAGGGAGGTCCAGATTTGTGAAGAGTCTTAAAAGGACTTCAAAACTTTTTTTTTTTTTTTTTTAATGTGGTAATTCAGACAAATTTAGTGTAAAATTAAATTAAAAAAAATAAACCACATTTGATCAGTATTTTGATTTCCCCTTCTGCTGAAAGAAGGAGAAAAAAAATGGAAAATGACAAA